GCATTTGCCTTTTCCAGAATGTCCGATCGTCAAAATCATAAAGTATGTACCTTTCCAGACTTGTTTCTTTTCCTTACCTGCATGCACTTACAGGTTCTCCATGTCTTTCTGTGGCTTCATAGCTCGTTTTCTATAGTATTCCACTCAGGGGGGCGGGGGGGCCTTTTTTCTGCCAGGGGCCATTTGGATATTTTTCACATCATTCACGGGCCACCCAAAATTATCAACTTAAAAGTTAGCCTGCTCTATTAGGTCAAACATTTAATTAACTCACCCTAAGGCCTGGGCAGGACCAGACCAACTGATTTCTCGGGCCTTGTCCAGGCCTTGTCCGGGCAGAGGGCCGGACGTTCCCCAGCCCTGCACTACGTGGGTGCACACTGTTAGCTGAACCACTCACCTCGCCGAGGGCAGCGAGCTGTGCCTCCAGTTTTCGGCATTATAAATTGAACATTTTAACATCTGCATGCAGGTTTTTCTGTGAATCACCTAAGAGCATAATTGCTGGATTATGCGGTAAGGCTATGGTTTACCTTAGTAAGAAAATGCCAGTTTTCCACAGTGACTGTTCTATTTTGCAGTTCCACAGACAATGAATGCTAGTTCCTGTTGCTCTGCCCCCTCTCCAGCATTTGGTGTTTCAGTGTTCAATATTTCAGCCATTTTAAAAAATATATATTTTATTGATTTTTTACAGAGAGGATAGAGAGTTAGAAACATCGATGAGAGAGAATCACCGATCAGCTGCCTCTTGCACACCCCCTACTGGGGATGTGCCTGCAACCTAGGTACATGCTCTTGACCAGAATCGAACCCGGGACCTTTCAGTCTGCAAGCTGATGCTCTATCCACTGAGCCAAACCGGTTTTGGCTATTTCAGCCATTTTAATAAGTGTGTAGTGGTATCTTATTGTTGTTACTAAAATATATTTTTATTGATTTCAGAAAGGAAAGGGAGAGATAGAAATATCAATGAGAGAGAATCATCAATCAGCTGCCTCCTACACGCCCACCCCCACCCCCCTCTAGGGATGGAGCCCGAAACCCAGGCATGTGCCCTTGACCAGATTCGAACCCAGGACCCTTCAGTCTACAGGCCAGCGCTCTATCCATTGAGCCAACCTAGCTAGGGCTTCGTTGCTGTTTTAATTTCCATTTCCTGAGGTCATATGATATGGAGCATCTTTTTATATGCTTATTTAACATCTGTATATGTCCCTTGGTGAGGTGTCTGTCCAGCACTTTTCCCACTTTTTAATTAGGTTGTTTGTTTTCTTTAGGCTGTACTTTTTATAGCCTTTGGGAGAATAATTTATCTCTATTAAAACATTTTAATATGTTTTTATTGATTTTTGAGAGAAAGGGAGAAGAAGAGGGAAAGGGAGAGAGGAAGGGAGAGAGAAAAAGAGAGAGCAAAAGAGAGAGAGAGAGAGAGAGAGAGAGAGAGAGAGAGAGAGAGAGAGAGAGAAAGAGAGAAGAAATGGATCCCCTGCCTCCCACATGCACCCCAATACAGTATCAAACCCAAAACCGGGGCGGGTGCCCAGAGCAGAAGTTGAACTAGTGACCTCTCAGTATATAGGGGACGAAGCTCAGCCAACTGAGCCATACCAGCCAGGGCAGCACAATAATTTTAATAACAAACCAATGTTGCCCTCAAATTCATGTGCTCTTGATACCAAATAATGCTTCATAATTAGAATAAGAAGCTCAGGCAGAAAGTGGGTCAAATCTCCAACCTGGAACCTTTCCTCCTTTAGGCATGTTGGCTCCACTAGATCCAGTATCTGTGCACTCCTCTGTACGATCTCCAGGTCACTGAGTAAAATCCCAGGAGTGTTCTCCACAGAAGGGATGTCAGAACAAAGCAATGAGACACAAGGGGTTTTTCCAAAGGGATCCATTTGCCTGTGTGCATCAAAGCCAATCAAAAGTGAACAGGAGCTGAAACCGGTTTGGCTCAGTGGACAGAGCGTCGGTCTGCAGACTGAAAGGTCCCGGGTTTGATTCCGGTCAAGGGCATGTGCCTTGGTTGCGGGCACATCCCCAGTAGGGGGTGTGCAGGAGGCGGCTGATCGATGATTCTCTCATTGATGTTTCTAACTCTCTATCCCTCTCCCTTCCTCTCTGTAAAAAATCAATTAAGTAAATAAATAAATAAATAAAAACTGAACAGGAGTTTGCAGCCAAGAAAAACGGTTTGTTAGTTGAGGAAATGGTGCCAAGCCCAGAGTCGCAGGTAAGCTGGTGCTCAAACACCTGTCTCTCACTGGCCTCCAGGAAATGGGTTATAGAGCGAAAACTTACTACTCATGGTGGCTAAAGAAGTTGGGGTCACAGGCTCCAATGCTTGGTTGGGGCCAGAGTCAGGACAGTGGATTGTTGATTCGGGCCTGATGTCAGCCATGGCATCGATCTGATCTGCTTGGTTTCCTAAGGGCTGGTCTGCAGGTCATTCTGGTTTCATGGGACGGGAACCCAGCTGAAGTCAAGATGTTGTTTTTAGTTGAACAAAACTCTGTTCCTGGACTCAACAGACCTGAGGCTTTTTAAAAAAATCTTTACCCAAGGATATGTTTTGTTTTATTTTTTAAGTTGATTTTAGAGAGGAAGGAAGAGAGAAACATCGATGCCCCGTATGCACCCGCTACCCCCTTCCTCCCCACCCCCAAGGATCAAACCCCAACCTGGTGTGTGCTCTCCCTTTGTTGTATGAGCTGGGCCACGCCGGCCAGGGCCTGGGCTTTTTTCCTAGGCAGTTTGATGCTGACCAGAATCTGATGTCCTAAGGGCTTAATGATTAAGGAGGGGAATGGACAGACAGAAAGGGAAAAGGCCATGTTAAAGAAACACGATTCCATTACTCAACCTCCATTTTAATGTTAGACTCCAATTTGGGCATGCTCTCCAAAGTCAGGTCTGGGCCATATGGGGAAATCAGTTTTGTTATTTTATTGTTAGACTAGAGGCCTGGTGCACTTGGCAGGGGGAGGGGGGAAGAGGGAAGGGGAAGAGGGAGGGTCCCTCAGCCTGGATTGCCAGAGGGTGCAAGCCAGGCCAAGGGACACCACTGGTGCACAATTGGGGCCAGGGAGGGATGTGGGAGATTGGCCAGCCAGGGAGGGACCGTGGGAGGGGTCCGGGGCATGTCTGGCCCATCTCCCTCAGACCTGATTGGTCAGACCCCAGCAGCTAGCTAACCTATCAGTTGGAGCATCTGCCTCCTGGTAGTCAGTGCACGGCATAGTGAGCAGTTGAGCAGTTTTAGTTTATTATTAGCATATTATGCTTTGATTGGTTGAGTGGATGACCAGACGATCAGACACTTAGCATATTAAGCTTTTTTTATATATAGGCTGACATTTTTATATCCCAAATGACAGACTTGGCTTCCAATAGCTTTGGACCGTCAAAGGATCTCAACTCTTCACCATCAAAGACATTGGGGGGAAATGTGGTTTGTTTTCTGTAGCTTTTTTCCCACAAGAGAAAATGCTCACAAGTAGGAGCAGACTCCTGGCTCAGATACACAGAGTCTGAAGGCAAGTACCCTGAGAGAAAAGGGACAGAATGACTGAGAGACTCTCAGAGATGTGTGCAAACAACAGAAAATCAGAGGGGAGGGAAGGAAGAAAGATTTGATGTAGAAACGAGAACCAAAAATCTTAAAATAGCTCTAAAATAACTGGATTAGTCAAGGACCTTATAGTCCTCAAAGGACCTACCGGGCAGAGTTGAGGCCCTCGCAAGCCCGAGGGTTCCCCCTGGTGGCCAGAAGTAGAATGGCCTCCGTGAAGAGAAAAGGGGGACCAGACCTCCTGGGCTAGAATCGTGGAGGATGTACATTATCTAGAAAACTAAGAAACCAGACACTCAGATAGGTCCCAGGCCAAATCCTTCGAGCTTATGAAGCAAGGCAGGATGTGGTGAGGAGCAAGCAGAGGACGGTGGGTTGTAGAGGAAAGACTAAGGAATCCCTGATGGACAGCTGGCTCCCTCCCCCACTGGGCCACTGGAGGTGAGTCTAGATGCTATAAGTCAGTTATAAATATGTTAATGGAATTAAGGGTGATTTGGTTTTCTTTACTCATTCCTTTAACGCTAATATAATAATGGGATGAAAATAATGAAATTATACCTTTTTAAAACAATAAAGAAACCCAAGCCCTGGCCGGTTTGGCTCAGTGGTTGGAGTGTCAGTCCTGCGGACCAAAGGGTCTCAGGTTCAATTCCCGTTCAAGGGCACACACTTCGCTTGTAGGCAAGATCCCCGGCCAGGGTCAGGACGTGTGCAGGAGACGACCAATCTATGTGTCTCTTTTATATCAATGTTTCTCACTCTCTCTCTCTCCCCTCCCTTCCATTCTCTCTCTCTATCAAAATAAAAAAAAATCAATGGGAAAATGTCTTCAGCTAAGGATTTAAAAAAAATAAAAAAACAAGCCCTGGCTGGATGGCTCAGTGGGTTGGAGTGTTGTCCTGCATACCAAAAGGTTGCAGGCTCTCTCCCTGGTCAGGGCACATACAGGAAGCAACCAATTAATGCACAAATAAGCGAACAACAAATCTCTCTTTTTCTCATTCTCTCTCCCCCTCTCTATAAAAAAAAAAAAAAATCATCTCTCTGGACCCCTGTCCAAGGCACTGGTTGGGTCTTTGAATAATTAACTGGTTTTCGTATTCTTTTTTTTTTTTTTTTTTTTAGGATTTCAGGCACCTTTATTCAGGGCAGATACTGTGGTCAGTGGAGCTTCCCTCAGGAATCTTCCCTTAAGGAAGCCAACTCCTCCCTAAGTCCTAGCTATCCTTCCTGCCTACCATTTCCAGTTGCTGTTGACTAGGCTTGAAAACACCTTGCACACAGGTTCCATCTGATTGGCTGGAGAGCAGCAGGCTCTGGGGCTTGCTGGGCTAAACCTGCAGCACATCAAAGGAGTTTCTGCACTGGGCAATGAACAGATTTAGCTCATTTTATCACAAAAGAAATTTACTCCTTTGTGTTTTCCATATAATTTATAAATAGGAAAAATTATTTAATATTATTATATATTTGCAATACAATCGAATCTAGTGATATAGGAAACAAAAAAAAATCATTAAGCGCAAATCTAACAGTCACCGAAAAAGTCCATTTTTCACTTTTTTCTATGAACACTTTGCTGTGACAATCACATGGATCTCCTCCAGTCAATACTGGCCTTTAGGCTTAGCATTCCCGACACTACATTTTTGAGTTGCAAGAGTTATCCCTTTCTTCTATCATGAATAATAAAACCATTACTCTGCAGTTTAGGTAAGTAGTAGTTTAAAGAAACAGTATTTCTTAAAAAACTTGAGCCTATCACAAGTCTCTTATTATTTTCTAGTGAAGCAACTGGCATAGTCTCTTTTCCTTTTCTGTTCCTTTTTTCCAATCAGTAATTCGCAGAACAGATGGAGCAACTGAGTTTTAAAATCCTGCCACATTTTGTAGGGTAACTATTGTAGATGAACAATGTAAGGTCCTACTCAAGTATTCAAATCTCATGCAGAACTCTAACTGATGAATGCCTCATTACATTAGGCAATTCTATCATTTTCCATATTTAAAAATTCTCACGCTAAAGTGGCAGTGGTTACTGTTCATTACTTCAGCATCTGACCTCAAAGACTTAGACAAAATCATGGTTCAAGTCTGAGTTTTGGCAACAAGTAGTGCCAGGTATTTCTGAATAAACAATTTTTAAATGTTCTCAACTACTGGAAAAGTATTACCAACACATTATTTGGTGTTAGTTCATCACACTGTTGAAAGTCAAAGAACCCCAAACTCTATAAATGTCTTACTTTACAAAGTCTAACTATAAAGGAATAACCGACTATATGTCTAATAGAAAAAAATTACACAGCAACTCTTATCAAACAGCAACTACTACAAAAAGAATGATAGAAAAAAATGACTTCACAAAAATACACTAAAAAATTTGACAATTTTATGGAAGAACCGCCAAAGTTTTAGTGTTTAATATTTAATAGCACAACTGACCAAGATCTGAGGTGTTAAGTTATCATGTTCAAGAAAGGGGGGAGGGGGACCACTCTACCGACTAAATATATAGTAAGTGATAAGAAGAATGCACGCTTTACAACATAAACCCTGTCTACACATAGCAATTAGTTGCAAAAAGCCATCTGGTCTTTTCTTGGCTTATAAAAACAATGTTCCAGATTCCAGTGTAAATTAGCAACCTTCAACTCTTTTGTGTAGCAGGTATCTTGTTTTCCCCTTCCAGTTCTTCCACGCCAGCCTGTGTCATAAGGTCTGCGATGTTTTTCTCCAGGTCATCAATGCGACTACTCATGTCATCGATTCTTCCAATGATCTGGTCGGACATGGTCTGAAGTTTATCTTGCATCTGTTGCAGGAGTGTCTGCACCACGGAGGTGAGATCCTGCACAGTCTTGGGGTCAGTCTCGGCCATCTCCCCGGTTCCCAGCTTGGCGGTGATATCTCAGACCGTCACTGACCTGGTTTTCATATTCTTTTTTTTTTTTTTTTAATATATTTTATTGATATTTCACAGAGAGGAGGAAGGGAGAGAGATAGAGAGCTAGAAACGTCGATGAGAGAGAAGCATCGACCAGCTGCCTCCTGCACACCCCCCACCGGGGATGTGCCCGCAACCAATGTACATGCCCTTGACCGGAATCGAACCTGGGACCCTTCAGTCCGCAGACCAACGTTCTACCACTGAGCCAAACCGGCTTCGGCTGGTTTTCATATTCTTAACCTCTCTCCCTTGATTGTCATCCTGACTTTCCTTTATCCTCCGTTCTTTGTCATCCTTTCTTCCTTCTTTCCTTTTTTTTTTTTTTTCTGGTAAGTATGTCATACATAAAGAGAATAGGCTCAAATGAACGCCTCTATTTCCTCCCCCAGCATAAGACACAGACTATCCCCAGCACCGGATGTCCCTCCTTTCCTCCCAGAGACCGTCGGAATTTGGTATGTATCCATCTCGTGACTTTCGCTAGTGGTACCACCTACACATACATCCTTAAACACACACTGCTTCGTTTTGCATGATTTTGAACTTGATATAAATAGAATCATCTAAGTATTCTTTTTGCTTTGCCCCCCAAAACACTACTTTTAAAAAATATATTCTGATTTTTAGAGAGAGAGAGAAACATCAACATGAGAGAGAAACATTGATCCATCTGCTGCCTCCTGCATACCCTCTCCTAGGGGTGGAACCGGCAATCTTTCGGTGCGTGGGTCAATGCCCAACCAACTGAGCCACGCCAGCCAGGCCCCAACATTACTTTTAAAACATGGACACATACAGGAAGGTCCACAGGCATACATGCACAGCTTGATCATAGCGGGGAATCGGAAAGAGAGCTTTCCTCAGAAACCAAACCAGCGGGCGCCTCTCTCTTGAACTTCCAGCCTCCAGAGCTGTGAGGAAATAGATTCCTACAGTCAGGCCACCAGCCGGTGGTGTTCTGCTATGGCAGCCGACATAGCCGTGATTCTGGACGCCTTAGCTTTTCTCTTCACATAACCACCATGTAGCATTTATTTCCCTACACATCTGTTTTTGCTTGTTTTTGGAGTCACAAAGTTAGATCATATCATACACAGTCTTCAGGATCTTCTTTTTTTCCCTCAATATTCTCTGTTTTTTATAACATTATTTTTTATTGATTTGAGAGAGAGAGAGGAAGTGAGAGAGAAATATTGATTTTTGTTTTCCCACGTATTTATGCATTCATTGGTTGCTTCTGGCATGTGCCCTGACAGGAGATTGAACCTGAAACCTTGGCATATTAGGCCAAAACTCTAACCAACTGCTACAGTTGTTTGTTTGTTTGTTTTTGTTTTTGTTTGTTTTTGTCTTGTTCTTAATTAACTTCCTAATGATTCACCATTAAGTATCATGGTTGCTGTAGGTTAGAAGATATCCTTAACAAGTTAAAGAAGTTAGTTCCCTTCTCTTCCTACTTTGCCAAAAGTGTGTTCTCATGAATAGAAGCTGAAATTTATAGAAGGCTTATTCTATCTCTGTTAAGATAATCATAAAGGATTTCCCTTTATCTCTTAGTGTGGTAAATTAAATGTCATTTTTCCTAAAATCAGACTATTCTGACCTTCCTAGAATAAACTCTGATACGTTATCTTTCTATGGGCTTCTGGAGTTGGCCTGCTAATGTGACAGGTATCACCCCATCCCTCATGCTTCTCCTAAACCCTGCCCACAGCTCTGTGTGTAGCTCCTGAAGGAAGCTCCTCTCCAATTACCCATTTTGAGTGCGCCATCTGTTTCCTGCCAGGTCCCTGCCGGAGACAGTGTCTGGTGAATGGGCGTTAGTTCAGACCGGTTGGAGCATGAAGTGTGTGTGATGAAGCAGTGAAACACGGTGTAGGAACAGGAGGCTGGGGAGGAGCAGATGGCGGAGGAGCTTGTCTCCCAGGCCAAGAAGTCCGGCAGGCAGTGGAACCTGAGAGGGCTTAGACCAGCCGTGACATGCTTTAAGAAAACTGGTTTGGTAGCTACTTGCAGAATGGCTTAGAAATTGGAGGCGGGTGGCAGGTTAGATGATCGCAATTATTGTAACAGGAAGGTAACATTTTGTAACCATCAGACTGGCAAAGATCCAAAAACCTGATAGCATAGTATATGGATAAGGGTGTGGAGGAAGAGCACTCTCAGACGTGGCTAGAGAGAGTGGAAATTCTTTGGATGGCAATTATATTATAAGATCTGTCAATATTAGAAATGTTTATAACCTGTGGACTGAGCAATTCACTTCTAGGTACTTAGACTACAGATAACACAGCAAACATGCCAAATAACTTCTGTATATGGACATTTGTTGTATATTTTTCTAATGGTGGAAGATTGGAAACAACCTAAATGTTCGTCACAGACTGGATAAAGAAGTACGGTACATTCCTGCCATATACCAAAACACTTACTCAGCAGGTAAACAGAGTGAGAGGACTCTGCATTGTTTCGTTCAGTGTCATCCTATATGATAAAAGGCTAATATGCAAATCGACTGATAGAGCAACTGGAACAAACGAACAACCAAACAACCAGTTGCTGTGACGTGCACTGACCACCAGGGCGTGTGCAAAACATGACGGGTGTTAGCCGGGTGGGATGGTGGAGCAGGCGCGCAGGGCCCCAGACTAAGGCCCGTCACTGTCATCGGGGCGAGCCCTGGTGGTTACTGAGGATTCTTTGCTCCCGTGCGCCATGGTCCCACCTGGCGCTCACACCTGCTGCTGGTGCCGGCCCCACTCGCACCCACTGCCAGTGCCCAGTGCTGATCCAGATCACTCGGCACCATCAGCGGGTGCCAGTGGTGTTTGCCGGCCCTGATCACCCAGCAGGCGCTGCTCACACTCGCTGCTGTCATCAGCTCCAATTGCTTCACACCGTCAGTGGGTACAAGTGGGGCCAGTGTCATCGACACTTGGGAGCGGCAGCAGCAGGAGCGAGGCTGCTGGCAGACAGGAGACTGGGAGCCATGGTGGGAGGGGCTGGATGGGGGCTCAGAGGGTGGGCTGAAACCCACCCCTGTGCCTGCTGTAGCCTTGTGGCCCACAGTTCCTTTCAAGGTGCACAAATTCGTGCACTGGGCCCCATAGTTTCATTATAACATTGATGGGATGCCTTAGGAACTTAACTCTTGTTTGTATCAATTAGCCTATGGTAATATTGGTTTCATTATCTGTCATTTTGCTTGAAGTCAAAGAATCTATTGACAACATTAAGTGAGGACTTACTATAATGTTAGTGACAAAGGCAAGGTACCTATGGTACATATGGAAGAAGGATATTTTGTACATAAGTTTGAAATTGTGTAAGCCAGAGGAATACAAAGGAAACAGGTAAAGGGTAGTTGTTCTTAGAAGAGAACTGAATGGCTGGGATCAAAGGAAGGAGGGAGAATTACTTTTTATTTTGATCTTTCTGATCCCTGCGCATGTCTTACCTGTTTTAAAAAATCATTTTAGAATCAAACCTGTACCTTGATATTAGTTGTAAAAATTAGGTTATAGATAGCTTTCTTGGTGAAACAAACACAACTGAAAGATCTTAAACTAAAACAAACAAACAAACAAACAAAAAATCTATACGTGAAATATGCTAATTAGGCTGGGCAGCCAAACAACCTTCTGAATGACCTTCCAGATGAAGTGGGGGCTGCGAGGGCCGAGGCAGCCGCCATGACTATGCGGACCAAGCTCCTTGAATGAATTTCGTGCACCGGGCCTCGATTTTATAATAATGTAGGCAGAACAGAATGTTGAGGATGGTTACCAGGTGAATAAAAGGCTTTGCATCGTCTTGCTTGGTTTAGTCAGTTCTTGCAGTTCAGGGCAAGCACAGTGTCTGAGCGGTGGGAAGCCAGGCCTTTGGGTAACTCCTTTCTCCTGTGATGCTGCTGCTCTGAGTGGGCAGCGGGCAGGGGGGTCACCCAGGGACTTCAAACCTGGACTGGTGGTGCTAGAGATGCTTTACTGAAGGCTCCTCTCCCCTGAAGAGGCTAGAACGGGGCAGCGCCCACTCAGAGTTCTCAGAATGTCTCCATCATGGTTGTTCTTTCACTCATTTGATCATCAGCTAGACTGGAACCTCCATGAAGGAGAAGACCACGCTTGCTTTGTTCAGCATTATGATCTTAGCATTCAGCACTACACAGGTGCATAGTGAAGGCTAAAACATTTGATTAGTTGAACTGAGTGTGGCTTTCTATGCCACATTGTGCCTTCCCTCCTTTCCTGCTTGGCCCTGGTAAGCTGGGTAAGTAATTTACCCTCGTCTTAATGGTAATGGCCACTTTATTTTATTTATAAGAAAATACTTAAATAGTATGACTAAGTTTTTAAGTTGGTGATGAGATTTTTGAAGTAAATGCAATTTAGTTGTCTAATTTCTATGGTACCAGAGTAATTGGCATGATGTTTATAAAAAACAAAACAAACAAACAAACAAACAAACAAACAAAAAACAGGCCCGGTGCACGAAATTCATGCATGGGGGCTTTCCTCAGCCTGGCCTACAACCTTTTCAATCCGGGACCCCTCAGGGGATGTCCAACTGCTGGTTTAGGCCTGATCCCAACATCCCTCTCACAATCCAAGGCCGCTGGCTCCTAACCACTCACCTACCTGCCTGAACACCCCTAACTGCCTCTGCCTGCTTGTCCCTAACTCCTCCTACCTGCCTGATTGTTCCTAACCCTCTGCCTGCCTGCCTGATCACCCATAACTGCTCTCCTCTGCCGACCTGATCGCCCCTAGACGCCCTCCCTTGCCAGTCTGATCACTCATAACTGCTCTCCCCTGCTGGCCTGATCACCCCTAACAACCTCTGCCTTGGCCCCTACCACTGTGGCTTTGTCCAGAAGGAGGATCTGAGGACCCGAAGATGTTCGGTTGACCCAGTCTCATTAGCGTATTACCCTTTCATTAGTTTAGATTGTTTTATCATGTAACATTAGCC